AGATGACTTGGCCCCCTGGCTTTAGCCCCTTTCCAAGGGAGCAAACGGTTTTGTCTCACTGGCATTCCCAGCACCACTGGGGTATGAAAAAAAAAAGCAACAACCTCCTGCAGCTAGCTCCGTGTCTGCCCAAACGGCTGCCCAGTTTTGTGCTTGAAACCCTGGCCCTGGTGGTGTAGACACCTGAGGGAATCTCCTTGTCTGCAGTTTACAAAGACCATGGGAAAAGCATAGTATCCAAGCTGGAATGCATTGTTCCTCATGGCCCAGTCCCTCAAGGCTTCTCTTGGCTAAGGGATAGAGTTCCCCAACCCCTTGCACTTCCAGGGTTAGGCAATACTTCACCCTGCTTCAGCTCACCATCCATGGGCTGCACCCATTGTCTATCCAGTCCCAGTGAGATGAGCCAGGTACCTCAGTTGGAAATGCAGACATCACCCGCCTTCTGCATTGATTTCGCCGGGAGCTGCAGACTGGAACTGTTCCTATTAGGCTACCTTTCCAGCCCTCACCTCAATTCAATTTCTTTTTCTCTCTCTCTCTGTTGAGATATTTTGAGCTATCAATAGAAAATAAAATCAAACTGGTTTAAACCACAGGAAAAAAGGATCTCCTGGTTTAGGAGTGGGAAGTTACAGGACTACTGAAGTTCATTACTGCCTTCTTGGACCAAACCCTTTTCCCTTCCTTCTCTGCCTTCCTTAGCAAATTGGCTTGGTTTTCCAGTCTCTGTGGTTATGCTATTGTCATCTGTTGTTCCTGCTGACTTTCAGTCAAGGGACCATGACCTTGTGTAAGTAATGTTGTTAATGACCTTATATTCCTTGGAACTCTGAAGTCTCCAGCATCTTGGTTGAATGTGGATTTCCCCAGGAGCTATTTGCAGTTTGCCTCTACGATGTACCTTAGACATGCAAGCAATACAGGACTCTTAAAATTAAATATTTTGCTTGCTGTTTTTCTAGACCACACAAGTAGTATGAATTCTGACCCAAATTTCATGCATATGAAAATCTGAGGGTAGAAATTTGAGTGTTCACAAATCTGAGGGTAGGAATTCTCAGGACAGCTCTTCTTTTTCTTTCATTTTTTCAACTCAATCCAGAGAAATGATAGAACTAAGCATAAGCCCTATGTATTTGTCCATTCTTGCACTGCTAAAAAAGACTGGGTAATTTATAAAGAAAAGAGATTTAATTGGTTCATGGTTCCACAGGCTGTACAGGAAGCATAACAGCTTCTGGGGAGGCCTCTGTGGTAATTTGCCACAGCAGTCTGAACTGACTAAGACAAGCATTTACCAAATTTCTGTTCTTTCATATCAAAGAAAGAATGATTCTGGGAAGAATTTAGTATTACAGATATTATATTAATTATTTGTCTTGATCATTATTTTAAATGATAGAAGAAATATTGTTTTATAATTGACATATAAAATTGGGCTACTAAATATTGTAGTGATGATATTTTCAACCCTTTTAACTCCAATTAAAATACAACAGAATTTTTTAATATAAAAACTTAATTCACTAAAATTACTCTAGAAAGAATATCAATTCAGTACAATAAGAAAGATGGAGGATCTGGCTCTCCAGGTATTCAAATTATTGAGTAGCTGTGGTAATTACAAATTTAGTACAAGAGAAAAAAATAGATTAAATAGTCAATGAAAAAAGAATAAAGAGTCCAGAAATAAACACAAACATCCTGTGAATTAATAAATTATAAATGTGACATCATGTGAGTGGAATAAAAGATTGTTTTCCCAGAATCAAATTCTTCTGGAGAGAGTGTAAATTAGTTCAACAGTTGTGGAAGACAGTGTGGCAATGCCTCAAAGACCTAGAACCAGAAATATGATTAGACCCAGCAATTCCATTACTGGGTATATACCCAGAGGAATATAAATCATTCTGTTCTATAGACAGATGCACATGTATATTCATTGCAACACTGTTCACAAAAGCAAAGACATGGAATCAACCCAAATGACCACCAATGATAGACAGTATAAAGAAAATGTATTGTATATAACCATGGAGCACTATGCAGCCATAAAAAAGAACGAGGTCCTGTCCTTTACAGGGACATGGATGGAGCGGGAGGCCATTATTCTTAGCAAACTAACACAGGAACAGAAAATCAAACGCCACATGTTTTCACTTATATATATGGTAACTAAATGAGGAGAACACATAGACACATAGAGAGGAACAGCACACACTGGGGCCTGCTGGAGGGCAGAGGGTGGGAGGAGAGGATCAGAAAAAATAACTAATGGATACTCAGTGTATTAGTCCATTCTCACACTGCTGTAAAGAAATACCTGAGGCTGGTAAATTTATAAAAGAAAGAGGTTTAATTGACTCACAGTTCCTTATAGGTGGGGAGACCTCAGAAAATTTAAAATCATGGTGGAAGGTGAATGGGAAGCAAGCTCTACCTTCTCTCATGGTGGCAGGAGAGAAAAGAGTGAGGGATGAAGGGAAAAAAATTTCCTTATAAAACTATCAGATCTCAGAGAACTCACTATCACAGGAACAGCATGGGGTAAACCACACCCCATGATTCAATCACTTCCTACCAGGTCTCTCCCTAGACATGTGAGGATTATGGAGATTACAATTCAAGATAAGATTTGGGTGGGGACACAAAGCCTAACCATATCACTAGGCCTAACTGTCACCTGGCTGGTGAAATAATCTCTACAACAAACCCCCACAACACACATTTATTTATGTAAAATGTGTGCAAACCTGCACATGCTGCATGTGCACCCCAACTTGAAATAAAAGTTAAAAAAAAGAAAAAATAATCAAAATGAAGTACAGAGACAAAAAAGAGTGTGAAAAAGAGACAGGTGGACCTAGACCAAAATACCTACCATGTATGAAACTGATAGTTCCAGAAGGAGAGAATAAATAAAATGATACAAAATTGATGAATAAATAATGAAATCTAATGAAAATTCTGAATCCACAGTTAGAAGAATCTCAATTAATATGAATTATGATAAGTAAAAAGAAAACCACCCCTAGGCATATAAGAGTCAAACTTCAGAAAAGCAAAGATAAACAGGAAAATCTTAAATGCCAATAAAAATACACAATAAAAGACATATTACCTTAAGGGAAACAATTAAAACCATGGTTAACTTTTTGACAGTAATAATGGAAGCTAGAAGGCAATAAAATGGCAACTTACAATGAAGAAAAATAACTGTCAACTTCAAATTATATAGTCAGCAAATTTATCTGTAAGAAAATGAAGGTGAAATGATGTTCCTCAAGTCTGGTAGAATTTGTCACTGTTGATTTACAGTACAAGAAATACTGAAAGAAGTTCTTTGGGGTGGAGAAATATTATCCAAGCAGAAAAAACTGAGATGCAAGAAAAAACAAACAGCACTAGAAAGGTCAAATTTGGAAGGCTATTGATTATATAAAGCTACAATAAAATAATGCTTCATAGGTTTATAAAATATACAGAAATAAGATATATGACAAAGTAGCCAAAAATGGCAGGAAAGGAATTAATTGTTACTCAAAATTACTACATATTAGAGAAATACAAATCAAAAGCACAAGCAAGCATTATGCAACCATCAGAATGGCTAAAACTTTAAAGGTTGACAATATCAATGTTGATCATGATGTGATACGTGGAGCAACTGGAACTGTCCCACATTGCTGATGGTGGTGTAAATTCATTCAATCATTACTTGGACATATCTGTTAAAGTAAAACAAGATCCTAACCTATGACACAGCAATATTACTCCTAGGTATATACTCAGGAGAAAAAAATGTAAAAATTCATGAAGCTATATACTGAAGGTTTGCACACTTTACAGTACATGTCTCAAGAAAAGCTTAAGAATACAAATCTGAAAAAGATAAGAAATCAAAAATTCTAATAGAAAAATAGGCAACAGAAAATAGGCAAAGAATATAAAAAGTAGAAGAAAACAGATGCCTATAAACATACAAAAACATGCTCAATTTCATTCATCAAATTAAAATTGAAATACCAAAGAGATACTGAAGCCAATTTGTGTTGGTTTCTCACATTTGCAACCAAGATTCCTGACAAGTAGTTTTACAAAAGCATGAGAAGATATAATTATGTATGAGAATGATCACTTCAGTATTGCTCATAATAATAAAAGATTGGAGAGTTTCTAAATATTCACCAGTTGTGAACTGTTAAATTATTGTAATTTGACAAAACAGAATATTATGTGACTATTAAAATTAATGTAGTAGATATATTTGAGTTTATACAGAAATATCACTAAGATATAGGAAAAGGGTAATTTCATAATAGTAAGCAGAATACTATCGTAACTATATACCTGTTTTTAAAATGATATTATAATAACAGGTTTTTGGGGAATAGTAATGAGAATTGCGAGTGGAAAGAGACCATCACTTTTTATTTTATATTTCTCAGTACTATTTGAAAGTTTTTCTGTGTGCTTTCATTTTAATTACACTTTAAAAAGCAAAAAGACGCATATATGTCTGAATACTGGCCCAAATAGTGGCAAAACTCAAATTGCTAGAAAGCCTAAGTGATAAAACATATGTTCATAAATCACTATAAATCCAGATTTCTTAAAGAACTGAAGACACAAACTAAAGAGCTCTTAAAGATAGAAATGAGTATCCTTCTTGATTATTAAAAATGAGTAATCTTTCCTCACAAGTAGCTATAATACCAGCAACAATCTGGTATGGGATGATCTATTGAGAAGTTACAAGACAGAGTGACAGGGATGTCCTGGGATCTAAAATGTTTTCAAACTCCTTACAAATGCAAAGCATATGTCTTTCAGAATTTTGAAGACACAATGACAGGATAACAATGGATGAACATTTTGCATTAACTGTATAAACTACAAGGTTTTTTTCTTTATATTGTCAAATGTTAGCTAAAATAATATCTATGTTATTTACCATACAACAGGTGTAATCCTAAAGTAACTTAAACTCATAATAATTCTTTTCGGACTTTTATTTCTCAAAATTAACACCGCTTATAATCATAATGAGAAAAAGATGAATACAGTCATAATGTACAGTGCTTTCTCTGTGACTTTGGGAACATAAAGGAGAATTAAGATAATTAAATTTATAGAATAGTGATGCATATCTGGGCACTTATGTTTATAACATTTATTAACAAACCAATTATGACTAAAGAGAAAGTGTTAACCACATGCCAAACACTTAATGACAGGTTTTAAAAGTACAGTATCTACAATAGAGATGTCTCACTACAAAATTAAATATCTTCCAAATTCATTCTCAGGTCCAGGTTTTTTTAGTAAACATGTCAGAGAGGATGATAAAATTGTATTTAATGCCATACATCTTAACCATAATTAATTTTGGAAAAATAGACATTTTCAGCAGCTTTCCAAAATAAATATTTATAAACTTTATAGAAAAATAATTCATTCACTATAAAACCTCATGAAGGGCTGTGTGCAGCAGCTCATGCCTGTAATCCCAGAACTTTGGGAGGCCAGTGTAGACGGATCACTTGAGGTCAGGAGTTCAAGATCAGCCTGGCCAATTTGGCAAAACCCTGTATCTACTAAAAATACCAAAAAAATTAGCCAGCCAAGGTGGCATGCCTGTAATCCCAGCTGCTGGGGAGGCTGAGGCAGGAGCATTGCTTGAACCCGGGAGGCAGAAGTTGCAGTGAGCCCAGATCGCGCCACTGCACTCCAGCCTGGGCAACAGAGCAAGACTCCATCTAAAACAAACAAACAAACCATGGAAATCATCTCCTAATGTTTATACAAATACATGTAACAATATCCTAGTTCTAATACAGACCGATCATGTTTTAAGTTGTTCTCCTAACATTGTGATTAGATGCAGGTGTGCTTTACTGTTTTAAATTAATTGTTCAAGAAAGAGCAAAATTACTGACTTACCTAGCTTCCTTTTTAAGTACTTCTTCACATTTCTTAGTAACTATGCTTAAATTTTTTCTCGAATGTTGCTTATTTTAGTCATAGAGTGGACAATTACAATTTTGTGACAAAATTTAATAATGAGCATTCTCAATAATGAATAGTTTAGAAAGGTTTGTTAAAGTAACTATCAAGATGAGCTTTGAAAGATGAAAAGTGGAAGAAATTTCTTTGAAGGTCACAGAAAATAATTTAGAAAGAGATCTTTTTTCATCCACGTCTGAGTGAGATGGAACTTTGTGGTTGCAGTATGTCTTAATCCATCTGCATACTGTCCAGCTCCACCTGCAAGCCGTGTGTGCGTAATTCTCAACTCTTACTGCCTAAAGTTTATGTCAGCTTTGTAGGAGTTAATGTAAATATTCCTGAAGTAATGTGACCATATATATGGTATTAGGGAAGAGAGAATACGTTTTATTGGGGAAAAAAATGAGAAGTAGAATGTCATGTGTAAGGTATTACAATCTTATTCTAAATCCAGAATCTTGTACTGATTTTGGAATTTCATCCGAGTCCTTTTACCACTTGACGACTAGGTTTAAAGGGAAAAAAACTATTTCTATTCTTCTTGTCAACTTGTAGCTCATCTCTAAATGGCAGACAGGGCTCCAACAGAAGGTTCCTACTCATAGTGTTTTCATTGTTTTTTCATTGTTCTTGGGGGTTTTAAGTTAGAAAACCTATAACCCTGCAAACCTTGACATATGATTTCCCGTCAATCTATTTAAACTTGAAACCATAGCACAAATTACTCATTTCTGAGTTGCTTTCCATGAAGGTCAGATTTAGAAAGACTGATTAGTAGCTTGCGTTTCATTTAAGCCTTTAAATGAAATATTAAAAATTCAAGATTTATAAGTTTAAAAGACCAAAACCTATATTTCAGCTCCTCCTTCCTTCAAATTTTTTACAGAAGCTGTGGGAAGAAATGGGAAGTTTCTGACCATTCTGAAGCATAAAACATTGTAAATTTTCTCTCAATTGTATGAAAATGTAGGTGAAAGGGAGGAAGGCAGCAAATCACACTGCCACATGCGTACCTATGCAACAATCTTGCATGTCTTTCACATGTACCCCAAACCTAAAATGCAATAAAAAAAAAGAAAAGCCAGTATTTCATGGCAGATAGCTTTCACAAGGTATCAGTAAAACATAATGAGCATAGTGAAATAAACTTTCAAAAGTGGAAATCAGAATTCAAGCCCATTGTCAATAAATATGATCTAAATCTAAACATACCAGCAGGCACTCTTTCAGCATTTTCCATGAAAAAGTGCCTTGGAATTTCAATATTTCTGAAGTGCATTTTTGTTTGTTCATTTATCTGGGGAACTAAAGCTGCACCAAGATGCTATCAATGATCTCAGGTTAATGCGCTGTCACTAAATCTCTTTAACACAGACCTACAGCAGCAATACAGTGGTTCTGGGACTGTTTAATTCATTCCAACTTACACATAACAAGATATATACATCCTTGGGCTGATGGGAACATCTATCAGTTTATCTTTCCTGTTGCTCTGGGTCCTAGATCACAGGGGAATACCATGTCTCAGGGGACATGCTCAGAGGTTAATCTTCAATTACAGAATTGGGCAAAATTTAATTTTCTATCTCTTCTATACTGTACCTTCAATTAAATACCTATAATATATAAGCATGTATTTAAAATACTTTAATTTTACCAAAATTTCTATACATGTAATAATTTATGTTCTGAATCTCTAAAGCCATATAAAATTATCCATGGAAAAAAGCCCTTCTCCATTTATCTTTGCATAGAACTAAAGCTTTCATACCGCAACAAGTATTGAGTTGCTATTGGCCCTCTACCTATTTCCTGTAAGAGGGTCATCAGTTGAGTATGTGAGATCCTGAGACATCTTAAAAATACTTATGACATGAAATAGCTTTGTTGATTTCCAAGTAGAAACTGATTCTAAAGTGTGAAAAATATCTATCAATTGGGGTCCAGAATCTTTGTCATTGTTTAGAACTGTTCACCTCATACCCACAACTGGAATAGAGATGGAATGTAGGGATTTATTTAGGGTAACAATAAAATCAGGAGACTCTTGTCTCAGTCCAAAAATAAGATTCTGATAATGTTTAAAAACCTACAGGCATATTTTTGAGTACTGAAGTATTTATTTTGATGATACTGGTAATCTTGAATGTCTTACTTCTTGCCATTGCACACCTACATGTGCAGGTGTCTTAATTTAGTTGCCCAATATGCTGTCATTTTTTACCATACTAAAAGTTGAATAAATAATAAACTTCCATAATTAATCTTAAGTTTTTAAAGGCAAGTATAAGATCTGTGCAATTCTCACTTAATTTCTCATCCAACATTATAATTCTACTGAGTAAATTTTATAATCTTTATTTTTTCTGCCACGCTTAGCTGATTTTTGTATTTTTGTAGAGATGAAGTCTCACTATGTTGTCCAGGCTAGTTTCAGACTTCTGAGTTCAAGTGATCCACCCGACTTGGCCTCCCAAAGTACTGGGATTGCAAGCGTGTGCCCGTATCCGGCCTCTACTTAATAAATTTTGATTACAAGTCAGTCATTTTAAATGAATGGCAATGTAGGGTATAGGTTAAAAGCACAATCATTAGCATTAAAAAATCTGGATTTAAATCTGAATTCTGACTCCATCACCCACTGACTGTAACCTTGGGCAAAATATTTACTCTTCTCATCTTTAAGGAGTACAATAGTAATAGATGTCTCATACAATTATTGCAATAATTAACTGAATTAAGGTATGTAGAGTACTACACAGTGGTTGGTTTATGTAGAGAAAATGCTCAATGAGAGGAAAAAATAACATATGTCCAAGTGGAGATGGGGAAAGACTTATTCCAGAGAGATATATAGTGATATCTGGCAATCCAACTTCATTAGAAAGTGACCATTTCAACATCTTTCAGAGAGAAGAATTAAAACTGACATTATGTTTTCAAAAGTGTTGTGTTGTCCTCAAAATACTGATTGTAGGCATCACCATTCTTGCAAGTTGTTTCATTATATGGTACATATCTTAGATTTTGTACATAACAATTGGCTTACTTATTAATCTTCACAGTATAACCCCTTAGGCCAGGGCTGAATTCTCTGTTTATCTTAAACATTTGGGGAAGTACCTACTTCAAGTCTCACAGTCTGATAGCACAAAATATAAATACATCACATACTCTCAAAACACATAAGGACACGTGTTAAGTATAAATTTCTGTGTGTGTGTGTGTGTGTGTGTGTGTGTGTGTTTATTGATACAAAATGAAAACAACTTGAGGTAAAAAAAAAAACAGGCCCCTTAAAAAAATTACATCTCACAAAAGATGGTGTTTGTTGGGCTTATTTCTAGCTGGAAACTAGGGACCTTCCCACTACAACTTGGGAATAAAATAGAAGAGCGTGTCTACAGTCATAGGCTTATGAAGGCCTTCTCAAATTTTTTGTCTATATTACTAAGATAGGAGAAACAGACAACATTCATTTGGCATGATCATTTTCAAATTTGTCTCTGGTTTCTTTTCTCTCTCCCACCCAATACTATATAGTAATCCATTACACTTTATATGACCCATTATAACACAAATCTGAAGGCTTCTTCAGTGAAATTATACAGTTAGGTCACACATCTTGTTTTCCATGATCTTACGAGTCTGAGTAGAACAAGTCTGGAATTGAGGCATGTAAGATACAAAAGCCTTCTTACTAGAAATTCCTAAGTTGAAATTATTTTCTACAAAGTGTGAACAACTGTCCTGGAGAACTCTGATATCCGTGAATAAACGGGGGTCTAGGAAAGGGCACAATACCCTTGACTTGTCAGTCAAAAGCATATCACTCTCTCTCTTTTTGATTGAGGTGACCCCTAAATAACAGATAGACTTTTCATCATTATTTTCTTCAGGGAAATTTCCCTCCAGTTTCAAAAGGTCATCCAATCCTTCTGAGAATGTGAGGTGTGGTGAAATTATGTTGAGATGCTGATCTGATAATATAAAAAATGCCTGTGCCTCTATTTCCCATGAGCTATTAGAGAAAGAATCCTTCAGAGGATAATTTTTGCTAGAGAAGCATTTGCTGACTGAACTATTTATAAGCCCTTGTTCTTCATCAGTTTCACCTAGTTTAGAGTTGCTGACCAGCATGGCATATTTAACAAAGGGTTGTCTTCGGCTTTCGTCCTCACAGGTTACCTTGGTACCCTCAGCCTCAGAGAAGTTAGCACTGTTGAACTGGTCACTAATACAAACAGAACCCTTTTCAAGATCTGTTGTTGGAAGGAGAGAGACCACAGTTGTTGGCACCATCTCATCTTTATTTTTCCATGATGTATCAACACTGATATCTTCTGAAATTGCTTCAGGCTCCAAAAGAAGAGGACGAAATGTCACTGATTCTGTATGCTTGATAAAAAGATGCTCAAATGTTTCTGGCTAAAAGAAAAGACACATTTTAAGGCTCAATTATGTTAAAATTTTGGCTTCATTATGTCATACTGGCAGAAATGGAAGTGTGTAAGGTTAATAAAGGACATAAGTCAACCACAAATTAACTAGTTTTTTCCCAAAATACATATATCAAAAAGCATACGGAAGAGGCCATTTAAGGTAGTGTTTGAAAGTGGGACAAGAAAGACTTAGACTTGAATTCTTCTAAGTCTATAACCATGAGCAAGTACATTAACCTCTCTGCCTTTCGATTTCATCATCTCTAAAAATGTGCTTCATGGTGTTGTGGCTCGAAATAAATTAGTGTCTGCAAATGCTTAGCTCTCAGGAAAGATTGGTTACTGTCATTGGAAAATGCTATCTTCTGAAGATATTTTCTTCCTAATATTTTGTAGCAAATTACATTCCCATAAACTAAAAATTTTAGCCCAAAAAAGAAAAAGTGAATTAAAATAAAATAAAATGAGCAAAATAACTTGTCTAAAAACAGTTAAAATAACTATGCTGTGAAATAAGATATGGTACAAAGGTAAAGTAATTGTATTGACTATTAAAAGCTTATCTGCTGTATACTGAGAATCTGCTTGAGACTATCTGAAAATAAGAGCTAATAGTATCTGTATACTGAGAACAATGATGTGATGAAGGAGATGATCACAGACTTGTAAATTACTATTCCTTATAAATAACTTCATGTAAAAATATTTACTATGGACATGTGAAATGAAGACAAATACACAAGACAAATGTACATCATATTTTTATAGGAATGATTACATTACAAAGAAAAATCCTGCCAAGCAACTACAAATCAAGAATCTGTGCAAAAAGCTCAATTTATACAATGTAAACACATTTAAAAATAAATGCAAAATTAAAAAGTTGTTGATAAATCACGTTGAAAATTTAACACAACTAAATTAAGGGATATAAAAAATGTGTTCATACGTGTAATTTAACTTGAATTTTACAATTTTTAAACTAATAGAATTCAGATATATTGCCTGAAATAATGGTATATCCAGCTGTTCTTCATAATGGCAAGTATATTCCACATAAAATGCAATTTATTTAGCAGAGTTTTATACTCTTAAGTAAAATATATCAGTGATTAAAAACACAAAGGAATAAAAATGCCAAGCACCCAAATATAATAATAAAATAGACTTATGTAGGTATTAAAATACTGCATAATGACAAATACTGTATTAATACAACTTTTCCTATTATAGACAATCATAATATATGAAGAGAAAACTGTTCCTATGCCTTTTTCTGAAAGAAATCTATAGTTTTATGATTTTCTTCAAATATTTGCTTGCTCATTTTCTTTTTTCTTAAGGTTTCTACTATATACGCACTGTCTTAAATTTTAAGTGATTTCTTCAAATATTTGCTTGCTCATTTTCTTTTTTCTTAAGGTTTTTACTGTATACGCACTATCTGTCTTAAATTTTAAGTGACCCTACATATTAAGATTGTCAAATAAAGGAATTAGATGCTATCGATATGAAAACAAGGAATACATACAAATAACCTGTAACCATAGAGTCACCCTCACATATGTCCTTCAAATGATGTGCTCGATATATTTCATGCTCTCTAAAACATCATAATTAGTAACTAACTGTTGGAATCAAATACTGTAAATGCCTTCAAATGCATTATTTTACTCATAATTGATTTTAAAAATCTCATATTCATATAGTATTGAAATATTTTATCAGTGAGTTATGAAACTTTATTAAAAGTATGTCCATTAAAAATTTTTGCTATATGCATCTCTTTAAAAGATTTTAGAACAGTCTAGGCACAGATTAAATATGTGTTCAGTGGGCAGTGACTAAAGAATATCCTTTCATAATTTCACACTTAGATTTTACATTTCACTGACACCTGTTAGTAGTCAAAAAGGGAAAAAACACATTCTTTGTGTTTTTTAGAGTTCTTTTCTACATTCAAATGAAAACTGAGTACAATCTAAATATAAGGAATCCATATATACACATATATATACCTATATATTATACATTTGAATACTGAGTTCATCAAACACACGTTTGGTTTGAATATAAGCAACCTAGCCTAAATCATGTGCTGAATTCATAAAACTAGCAAGTATTTTAAAGTAGAAAAGTCCTATCCTCACCATGAACTGTTCATAAAAGCTCCAAAGTGTCTCCCTTTCTTGTATCACTGCCCGTTTCCCTGCCTGCCAGAGGTCTTGGATGGTTCAGTGGAAGTAAATTAGATTTAGGCCATAATTAAAAAAGGAAACTGGATAAGAGGTCGATGTTCTCTTCCAATCTGGTCAATCTGACCTGGAAATGTAGGTTCATCCTGATATAAACTGTAACTCCCACTGTCCTGTGACCAGCACAAACACAACTTCAGGCTTTCTTTTAACTGAAATGGAAGTTAGCACTTAAGCCATTTTTAAGGCTATTGAAAATTGAAATTCCCAGATTGACCAAAGTTAGATACAAAAAAGCCAGAAGACATTCAGAAGAACACCCAAATGGGCAGATTTTTATGTTGATGTGTGTATAAAGAAATCTAAAATGGAAAAGTTTGTATATAAAAATACAAACTAAATACTTTCACTGATTCTATACTTATAATCACTGTATTTTTAAATCTACTTGTCAGAAGTTCCAGTTTTAGAGTTCACCTAGTTACAACATTGTCTACTATACTTGATGACATTTAATAAATATGTAATGAGAGCAACAGTCATAATTTTCTTAATGTTTTATGACCAGGATTATGACAAATCAAAAGCCAGAAAATTAATCACATGTCCAGACTTAACTGGACTCAAATCTATATTTTAAAGCCAAATTTCCACATCTATTTTAAGTTCTAAATCAACACAATCCACCATATGTTAACTCTCAGAAGTTCAACTGAATTTTTTTAGATTTGCTCCCCTTCTTCAAAATGTAAAAAATCTTCTAATACTCTACAGACTGTTGGGAAGTTGGCACATTGGGTTCATCTGTAGTGATCATGATTAGACTTCAAAGAATGTCCATTCTCTGTTTAGATAAAATAAAATAAGAAAGCAAAATAAAAAATCACTCACAAATGAAAATATAAAGGATTCCAAAAAACATTGTCAAGCATGGATTCTGGACTATAAATTCTTGTGTTAAGTTACAATAATGCATCCTTTTGGGAAAGGTCAAAATGTTGAACTAAGGTGGCTTCTCCCATTTTCTTAATGAATGCTTTAATATCACACTCTAAGGACAGCTTTAATTACCTTAGGAAGGGAAAACTATAGGAAAATAACAGAACAGGTAAACAGAGAGAAGAAGAATGAGCTGGAAAAATTGAAAGAGGGAGAACCAATAGCAATATAGAATAGTTTGGAACAAGAAAGAATAAAAGAGGAGAGCAGCAAAATGAAAAATAAAAAAATAAAGAGAAAGGAGTGCTAGAAATAGGAATAGAATCACAGAACCATTCATTACCATGGGCTTGAAAATCTAGAAATAAGATCTGAGAAATCATCTGGTTCAAGTGTTTCCTTTTTTTCTGACAAAGTAATTAAGGCTGCCAAGATTATTTGCTTAAGGTTACACAACTAGTTAGAGTAGAGCAAGACCCTGAGTTTGTTCTTTTTTTCTAGTCCAACAATCTTTCTATAACACAATGGAAGATGAAAGGTCGTCCCAAACACAAATAGGTGGAACATGTTCTTTGTTTTCCTTTCACTACTTTCTGTGACAAAGTTCAGCTGATTATACTCTCTCCTGGTTCCTCATAACCTGAGGACTATAAGGAACAAGAAAATTAACAAAACAGAAGTTATATTTTTAGGGGAGTGAAATATACAATTCTAGGCCCATTAATGTGCATTTCAGGACATAGGGGAGATGGCTACTTCTAAACAGAACTTCTAACTCAAAAAGACACCAACTCTTCCACACGTTTGCAGGGCCGTCTAGCAATTTGAGGAATGCTTCTGATTCAGATATGTTAGGATGGTGTTCATGGAGGCCACGAGTTGTCGAGCTGCTTATTTTGAGGCCTAGGGCTTCTGGGAAATCTAAAATAGTTTTTAGATCCCAAGGAAAACTATACTTGTTTTTAACTTTACCTCCAAAGGAAATTGTTAAATGGAGTACACTCTTGTGAAAGTTGGCATAAATGTAGACAAAGGAGCATGGGTGGATCAAAAACAAACAAAAAACAGAGAAAGAGAAAAATATTGTAAAATAATTAAAGAATAAAAACCAGTGGAACAAATGGAAAATGAATTAAGGAAGCCTAAAATATCTTAAAGGATTTGGATTTATAAGAAATTTAACAAATTAGGCAGAAATGCTAAGGTAAAAAGGTGCAAAACAAAGTAAGAAAGGTAAGAATATTTTATATTCTAAAACTTGAATTAGAAGAAAAGCAAGGCTATTGAGTTATCATTACACATTTTCTTGCAACAAAAATTCAATCTATGTTTAAGATTCTGATTTTTAAGATATAAACAGAAATGGTATTCTGATTCAAAATGGCAGACTGAACACATTTCTCTCTTGTCTCTATATTAGAGAGTCTGTTGGAATGGCAGTATGTAAATAAGTCAAATGCAGACTTACCACAAAGAAGATGATCTGAGAGGGCTAATGAGAAACGAGTAATTTTCATTCATTGTTAAAAGATAGAAAACAATTGGAAGAGTATAGATCAAAGAAGGTGAGCAAAGAAAGCTGAAGACCAGACTGTATCCAGCCACAGCTGAGGAGAAAGAAAATTAGCCCTGCCATATATGGTGGAGATTGTGCATGAAGAAATGGCAGGTAAAAACACAGGAAGAAAAGATTCATCATTGAAAATTCAAAACAACAAAAAAGAAATGGCAGGTAAACACAGGAAGAAAAGATTCATCATTGAAAATTCAAAACAAAAATGAGGACAATATTTTAAAAGAAAGGAAATTGTAAGTAAACAGTGAGGAGTAAAATCACAATATTATTTGACTG